GCCCAGGCGTGGCTATCATCCTTTGCGGTCTGTTGTCGCTACAGATCCAGTAATGCAGAAATGGAGGGTACTGCTAGTAGCGCCAAAGAAAAAGAGCTAAAAATGGTCGAACCTAAAGTAGGTTTTAAATCAGATGTGTGGAAGCATTTCAGTTTCTCTCTGAAAAGAAACAAGAAAGAAGAAAAGGTGATAGAAAAAAGGGTATGCAGGCACTGCCAGACTGTGCTGAAATACAAGTCGGGGAATACGACTAACATAATGGGGATTATTTTAGTCAAGGGGACAGCAGAACACAGCACACTGCTCAGATGGATGGAGACATTGACTTGTACCACCAAGAGACCTCTATCTCACTCATGGCTTGTCCTTTCGAGTGGTGTTTTTTTTTTTTTTTTTACATGCTTTAATATTTTTTGTTATTAAAATTGAATAATTTAAGTTCCTGTTTGAAAGTTTACAGATAGATAATTTGTATGTCATTGATCTGTTCAGTGTTGAGGTAACCTGAACATTCTAGCAATTTTTTTGAGTCTCTTCAATAGTTTTGTTTTTCCTTTAAATGAATACCGTAAATAAATACCGTACCGTGCCATTCATACCGAGGTATTACCGTATCGTGAAATTTTAATACCGTTACATCCCTAATCAAAACTGAATCTCTTATTCGGTTGGCTGAGCAGTGCTGTAGTTTTTATGGCATGTTTGTTTTTTGTTTTTTTAGATAGTAAGATTATCTATCACTCCCATTTGTAAACTGCTGTTTACTGTTACCTTTTGGAAATATCAACAGCATTTGTATTAAACCTCACCAATTCAAATGAAGCAAAACTGAATCACTTATTCTGTTGGCTGAGCAGTGCTGCAGTTTATATGGCATGTTATTATTATTTTTTTTTTTTTGAGATAGTAAAGATCACTCCCATTTGTAAACGGCTATTTACTGTTCCCGTTTGGAGATATCAACAGCATTTGTATTAAAACTAATTGAGTTCAATTATGAACTAATCAAACCTGGATCCCGTATTCTTTTGTTGGCCAGTGCTGTAGTTTGTACTGCATGTATTTTTGTTTTAAACACACTAAATTAATCTGTTCCCTACAACTATATCTTTTTGAGTCGTTCTGAATTTCCTATTGTGAATATAAGGGAAGTGAAAGAGCGGCTGTTAATTACTTAATCCTAGTTACCCAATGCTGCTGTGACAACGGACATAAACCTAGAACACTATTAAACAGACATAAAAGAAGTGAAGCAAAATGCAAGCAGATATATCCAATACTGTTTGTGAAACACTGTTTTTAAGCTTTGCACCATTTTTAATATTTATTGTTCACTTGATGTGAAAAACTATTTATAATCATCCCAAAACAAACACTACTGACTTGACAGACACCAGCCTGGCATTCAGTCACATTGATGTGGAACAAACCTAAAGAATCAGTTTTATAAACCTAAAACCTTAATGTTCTGGTTCACCTAAAGTATCAATCTGCAGTTAAATCACTCACCCTCAGGCCATGCAAGATTTAGCCGATTTATTTCTGAAGTAGCATTTTAAATAAAATAATAAAATGCAAGTCAATGGCTAACAGTGCTTTGAAAGTTAAACAAATTGTATACAGGCAAAAAAAAAATTATCTTGTGTCTTTAATCCACATTCCACAGCTTTGGCAACTGATCCTGATCACATTCCCGACAGTGTGGAGCCCAAGCTTCTTGTTGAATATTGACATGAGCAGTCGCAAAATCTCACCTAAGCTGACACTGTTTACATACAACAGAGAGAGAGGACATGTGTTGTTTTGTTCAACACAATGCTTCTTAATGGGTTATCCTGGAAGCTGCAACCAGTATAAGAAAGAGTTGTATACACAAACTCAGTCAGGGTTGTTTACTTTTCGCACATTGCCAATAAGTTTTTGATACGTAATTGTAATTTGATACGTATATATAATTTGATACATCATCACGCAAAAGGACACCCGTGAACTTTACAGTAAAAACTTTTGCTGAAAATGTGCATTACAGGTGATATTGTTGTAAATGATACAGTATTTTGCTTCTTGCATGGACCAGTCAATTCACTTTATAAGACATTGATGTATGTTCAGGAACTACGAGTATTAGTATTGCTTTGCTTGTATGTATTTTTTCTTTGTTTGTTTTGTTTGTCTCTCAAAGTTCTAGTTGTCTTTTACCAGTAATTGGTTGCAGCTGAAAGGGTATCCGCTGAGTAAAACATAGGCTGGATAAGTTGACGGTTCATTCCGTTGTGGCGACCCCAAAATAATAAAGGGACTAAGCCGAAAAGAAAATGAGTGAATGAATGAATGAATGAATGAATGAATGAATGAATGAGTTCTAATTGTCATCCATTATCAGTACTTAAAACTTTCATTAATGTTCTACTGAGAAAAGCAAAGCGTTTGGATGGCCTGAGGGCAAGTAAATAGCAGCATTTTCTTTTGTTTGCTTGATTGTGAGATATATAACTAATAA